CCTGGAGCATGGCGTGGCAGCACTGGGCTGTCCTGGGCAGAGCCAAAGGAGTAGGGTGTCATCCCAGGGAAATGGATGGAAGGCCAATTGCAGCCACCCCCAAGTTCAGGTGTTTCAGAACTCTCCTTAAATGGTTTCTGTCCATTCCAGCAGAACTGACTTCTTCCCTCTACCAGAGGAGGGAGAAGCACTTGTCTCTCACAAACTTCTTTCCTTCCAGGACCCAACAGAAGAAAGGGGACCTGACCGCCTTACTTAAGATGAAATAAGAACAGTGTAATTAAAACTACATCCCTCTGACTAGGTTGCATTTCCCAGTACAAAATAATTTTTTTTTATCCCACAATATAGTTTGAGCCAAACTGTATTAACTGAATCTGGTGTTTGCCTTTGTTTTCAGGAGGTAGGAGACACATCTACAGAAGAATATCTCCAATAGTCAAGCTAAAATCTGCTTATGAAATGACCTTTAATATCTTTCTTCACAGAAGAAGGAACTCAAATGGCCTATAAATCAGTAATAAGAAAAATATATGAAAGTATATATAACTTAAGTAGTCATCAAGAAAATGTAAACTAAAGCAAAATAATTTTCACCCATCTAATTGCTGAAAATAAAATTAATATCTAAAATAGTTTCAATATAGGAAACAGACTTTCTCATACACTGTTGATAGTAATGTAAATTGATATAGCACTTTTGGGGGACAATTCAGAAGAATCAGTCAAAATCTAAAATGAAACATACCTTTTGCAGCTTCAAACTGTCCACCTCTGTTGAGCATTGCGATGGTTTCGCCAGCATCCATTCTCTTCCCCCGGGTGTTGAGGGAGCCAGGTGTTCCACGGGGAGGCTGTGACTGGCCTGAACCAATGAGCATAACCCCATGTCCTTTAGCGCCCATTAATTCAGACAAAGGAATTTAACAAAGGCCCACGCTAATCAGAACATGCCATTCCCCAGGCTATAGTGCTTGACTCAAGGTGAGCAGTATCCAAATCTGGCTTAATCAGAGTGAAGTTTTGTTTAGTGGCTGGAGGAATGCATTTCTTCCTCTTTTAAGAGAATGAGGACGTGTATAGCTCCAGGAGTCTAAGCTCTCAAAGTTTATATTATCTAAACAAAAAATGTTTTAATGGATTCCAGATCTAAAAATCATGACCATGCATGATTCAACAAACATGCATGGCTCTATCATTTATTGAGCAACTGACACTGAATAAATTCCTTAAACTTTGTAAGTCTATTACCTTGCCTGTAAAATATGACTAACATTCCTATCTTCGTAGGGATATTATTACTATTGTCCCACAGGAATTGCTTTGCTAGATGGTATGGAACAGAGATAAATAAAGTGTGGTTCTCAATCTTCAGAAACACAGAAAATGTAGTGGGCAGTGACACTGAGTATTGCTCTTGCACATGTGCCTTCAGAATCTGGCCCTGACTCTTCTGCAGGAGCCTAGGAGCAACTTCATAAACAGATGTTTCTACTTACAAAATATGTCTAGTGGTCGACAGACAAGGAGGTATTCATATCAGAAAGGGAGTGATAATCCAAGGAAGAAGGCTAAAAACAGGGAAGCAACCAAGCGAAGCACTGTTGCCATGGGGCGGAGAGACGGCTTTTAATCCTAGCAGCAATATTAATAGAGATCACTTTCCAGATAGATGAATGAAGGAGATAGATGAATGAAGATAAGCTGACATAAAAACCTGCTCCCTTGAATGATAGGCAAATCCCTACCCTAATCTATGGATAGGAAAACAGGCTGCACTGAGATATTTTTATTTCATTTTCCTGGTTCTTGTTTTCATTCATGTTAGACAACAATACACTTTCCAAAGTTTTGTTAGAACCTTCCTCACTTCCACTGGAGATGCCCTTGCATGACAAAGCAGAACAAGAAGGATTAAATAAGGCTCTACCTGCCGGGGGAGGGGAGCGGATTTCACTGAGAGCAAAAGACCATGACATTTTATGGGTGGATTTTGGTTTTGTGAAGAAAATGTCTCAAGTGTATAATACATTTGATGTCAGATATCCCAAAACATCTATAAACACAAAGGTCTAAACCACAAGTCACACAAATTACATACAAGTGATAACGAGTGATGTCAAGATTTGGGGCCAAGTACTTCGCAGAAAGGACATGTTAAAAAACAGTCCAGCTGGTGTGGCTCAATGGTTGAGTGTCGACCTATGAACCAGGAGGTCACAGTTCCATTCCCAGTCAGGGCACATGCCCAGGTTGCAGGCTCAATTCCAGTGGGAGGCCTGCAGGAGGCAGCCAATCAATGATACTCTCTCATCATTGATGTTTCTATCTCTTTCATCTTATCCCTTCCTCTCTGAAATCAATAAAAATATTTTTTTAAAGAAACAGATAAACTATAGGTTCATTATATTTTCAAATTAGTTCATGTCTAAAGCTATCAAAGGAAAAAATAAAACCATTTTAAAAGCAATGTAAAAACATAATTTTTCACTCACATAGTGTTAGGGGCCCATTTCTAATGTAGAAACACAAAGCAATAAAGAAAAATCCACTTGGTCCAATACATTAGGACTAGCCTTAAAGTTTTAGGAGCAGTGACCCTCGAATTTCGGATCCTCTGCCAGTGGCTCGGTTACATTGAGGAGGGCTCAGAAAATAAGTCAGTCACATTTTTTCAATCTAATCTGATTTACAGTTGCTTATAGATCCAGCCTTATATTTTAGCACAATTAAGATAAAAAAACCAATAATGAGAGAGTCACACAAGGCAACACATCATCTACGCTTCCATTTCAATAGGAAGTTAGCTAATCTAACCCAGCAAGGGATTCTCAATCAGGAGAATCGGGTTCTAAGCCTGGCTCTGTCACCACCTTTACCAGGTAGTCTTTACAAGACATGTTACTCTATGACCAGATGGCTTGTATCACTGGCTGACCAAGAAATTTAACTTGTCATCCCTATATCCTGACTTTCCCAAAAAGAATTAACTGATTATTTCCAACATATTTGTTACTACCATACAGTGTCCTATACATTGCTTATAGTTTATTAATTAAATAATGCAAATAAAAACTATGGAGCTCAATAACATATAATATTTATTAATTGTAAAATATACATACACACAGCAAGCCCATTTTCCTACTAGTACATATACATATTTCCTATTAGTATGTGACTTAATCATATCCTTTTGTAAGGAAAGAAAAAGTAACCTTAAATTGAAAAAAAAAAAAAAGGATTATTTTAGTTCAGGGTCTATAGCCCCAGTTTGCAAAATCTTTTTCAAGTAGTACTTCCAAGATTCTAACCAGATATGAGCTTCAAGTCTCAAGTTGGACTTATAGTAATAGTTTTTAGTTCTTTAGTTCTAAAGTGGACAAAATGTTTTAATCGATAAAAGATACCAAGAGCAAATATAGAATGAAAAAGGTCTAATCCTAGACCTTCAGACATTGAGGTGATATTTTCACACCAATCTTTAAATAAAATTAACATTGAAATAAACTGGACAGCTACTTGGCTTTTAAGTAGTGTCTGCTTTTTATGCTGTGGTGGCTGCTGACAACATAATTCAAAGTAAAAATAATAATATTTTAATTTGAGGCCTATTAATGCCTATACACTAACTTTGTTCAGCATGTTAGCCATACCTCATCTAGTCAAACACCTGGTCAGAGGTTAGAGATAGAGCTTTAAAATCAAGATCAAAGTTTAACTGAGCCACCTACATAGACTTTTACATTGCAGCCCCTTATTTTGCCTCCTGAATATCCTACTCTTTTGAGGCTCAAGTAACTATGATTAGAATTTTAATATTAAGCTCCACAGGGTAGGTAATAGAGAAAAGTGCTAGTAAAATTCCTGGGCTAAGTTCTAATCAATGTCTTTTGGAAAAAACAACAACATACTATTAATTGGTTAAGGCAAAAAAAAAAAACCCCACACAAATTCTGGTCCCCTTAACAATCATTCTCTAAAACAGTAAATGCAGAGCATGACTAGAAACCCAGAAACAAAAATTGGTTTAACTCTCCCACCTAAACATTGAGGACCAGTGCATTAGGAAAGATGTGTGTCCTGTGGGTTAACAATTTTGCACCTTGGTTAAAGCTTTTGGGAAGGCCTAGGTGTTTGAGGAAATAAGAAGACAGGAATATCTCTGGGATTTTAGAAAGATTTTCTATGTAATATCACCTTCAAACTATCAGCGGATAGGAGTAAAGTCCAGAACAAAGTTCATCCCCTGCCCACAGCCTCTTCGGCTGGGGAGTTGAGCAGGATTCAGCCCAGAGAAGAGAGTCAACTGGCTTGACCAAAACAAGATGTTAAATCCATTAAACTCTGAATGCTCAGTAAAATAAAGCTAAAACTGTTCAAATTTGGGCATTCTTGGGAAAATTGCCAATGTGTGTACCAGTAGCAGGATCTGTGTAATTAATGGTGATGTTATTTACAGAGGGAGTCACAGGAACGTTAGCCCCAGAATCATACAGTGCAAAGAACTATCCAAATCGTTAGAAATAAAAAGGTTTCTTTGCGAAACTTGCATTTAAGGTGGTTCTTAGAAGATCCGCAGAGAGGCAGATTCCCATGATACACTGATCAAACATCAACTATACTCACAGGAACCAAAGAAATACATCTATCCATAAAGAGCAGTCACATATCTTGCTAAAGCCTAGAAACAAGCAAGATTCTTAAATGTGTTTTCATAGTTAGGTTAGGGTAAAGGAAACATTTTTTTTTTTTTTTACTGATCCTAGTTTTTTCATTTTCTTCAACTGATCCTAGTTTTTAGCTCCCACATTCACAAACACATTCCTAAATAAATGTACACATCAATGCAGGTAACACACAAAATTTGATGCATAAGTAACATAAACTTTTATAATCTTTCTCCCCTTTTTTACTTACTGTTAATCTTGGGTACCTTTAAATACACAACCCACTAATAGTAAATATACACTCATGTAACAAGAACCATATCACTATTCTTTCATTGGATTATCTTGAAGTAGCATCAGTGGACTTCAAAGATGATGGCTGACAGTTGGGGAGGACACTTGCCCAATCTTCCTTTGAAACTCCTGGAAGTCATTGTCTTTCCTTCTGCAAAACATTTCTCAGAAAATGCAGGCAGTTCAGAAGTAAATGATCAAAACCACGTCTATCTCCTCCTGGGATATCAGCACTTTTGTTCCAGGAGGATGTCATCTCAAGCGCTAGAGCAGCATCTAAAAGGACAGGAGGAATACATGCCACCAAATACTTTACATAAAATCTTTCTAGATGTCTATCCCACTTGTTTTCTCACTTCGTATTTAAAACTATACAAAACATTTCCCAGAAAAGGTTACACAGCTTTAAATATGGGAAAGCAGACCTACCCCGTTCAGAACCAAACTGACATTCAGTGCTGGTGTTCCATCCAAGGTAAGTCAGCCTCCGAGTCCTCTGGCAGGGGAGATCCTGGTGCCTGTAAATTCACAATCCAGCATTACAGATTCCAGTCATTGTAAGTCCCACTTCCTGAAAACCCTAATTTTTGTTGTTCAATTGCCAGATGTTTAAAATGAACTATTCATGCCGTAACCAGTTTGGCTCAATGGATAGAGAGCATCAGCCTGCGGACTCAAGGGTCCCAGGTTTGATTCCGGTCAAGGGCATGTACCTTGGTTGCGAGCACATCCCTAGGAGAGTGTGTGCAGGAGGCAGCTGATCGATGTTTCTCTCTCATCGATGTTTCTAACTCTCTATCCCTCTCCCTTCCTCTCTGTAAAAAATCAATAAAATATATTTTTTAAAAAATAAAATTAAATTAACTATTCATAGCTCAAATTACTTGCACTGAAGATGAAGTAAGGGGATGTTATTTTTTTGACCTCTTTGTTGACACATATATTAAAGTATACTTTGGATGTGCCAGAGCAGTGCAAACCCACTACAAACCCCCTCTCCTACTTATTATAAAACGAACAATCAGAACGAACAAAGAACATTTGGGGAAAATACAAAAAACAAAACAAAACCAAAAAAAAAAACACCACTAAGGATTAAGGAGAGCAGTCAAAATTTGAAGATGTGGTCTTTCATATGGGGGTAGATTTCCAATTTTGTTTTCTCCTCCTGTGGCTTTGCCTAGTCTCAAAGTAGTAAGGAAGTGCAGTAGGCTCAACGTCTAGAAGAAACTCCATCTTTATAGAGAAACCAGGAAAAGGAATCCCTGCAGGCCAAAAAGGATGGGGGTAATTCTGAAGGGACGAGAACTAGAAAAAGGGGTCCTCTAATTCTGTATATAAGCCACAGAAGTCTCAGTGCAACTCCTGAGATACGCACATGGGAGAGCTTTAGTCCAGCTCTGAGATCTCGGCTGGCTGAAAGCAGGTTTCTGGGGTTTTGTTTAGCTTCTATATTTGTAATAATGTTTCAAACTGCAAGCTCAGAGGCTGGCAGTGGCAGGTGGGGAACGTTGGAGTCCTCCGTCACTGAAGCAAGCGAGCCTCATGTTTGCTTCAAGCTGCCTGGCTACCAGCCGCCCTCTTGGCTCTAGTTAATTTGCATATCACCCTGAATAGCCAATGGGAAGCGTAGCGGAGGTACAGCTAATTACCATGTTTCTCTTTTATTAGATAGGATATATATATATATATAGTGTGTGTGTGTGTGTATAGTTATTTTTAAGTAGCCATTATAACTATGGTATATGAGATGAAAGAAAACATAATGAAATTAAGGAACAGGAATTCTTAGTAGAAGAGTAGAACTCTAAAACAGAACTAAATAGATATTTAGAATTAAAAAACAGTACTGAAACTTTTAAACTTCACTGGATGGGCTTGATCGCAGAATGCAAATGACAAAGTAGAGAGTTAAAAAACTTTATGACAGATCAATAGAAATGACCTAGTCCTAAGAATAAAGAGAGAAAAGATTGATGAGCATGAACAGATTCTCAGGAACCTGTGAGAAAATACCAAAAGTTCTAACATATATGTCACTGGAATCTCAGAAAGAGAAAAGAGATTGTGGCGGGAAAATTTTTTTGAAAAAATAAGGTCTAAAAACTTCCCTAATTAGGTATAAGTTTACAGATTTAAGCTCAGAAAACCCCAAACAGGATACATTAAAACAAACAACAACAAAAAACTATGCCTACACATATTATACTCAACCTAATGAACACAAAAGATTAAATCTTGAAAGCAGCCAGAGAAAAATGAAACATTACATACAGGAGAATAATTATTCAAATACCTGAGAATTTCCCCCAAGAAATCACAGAAATCGGAAAAGAGGAATAACGTCCTTATTGTCTTGCGAGAGAAAAAAAATTTAAAACAACCTACCAACTCAAATTTTATATCCAATAAAAATATACTTTAGGAACAAAAGCAAAATAAAGTCATTCTCAAATGAAGGAAAACTAAGAGTTTATCAACATCTGACTTACTCTGCAAGAATTGCAAAAAGGAAGATTTTCGCTGGAAGGAAAATACCAGAAAATAAAACTGTAATCTTTAAGAAAAAAGAAAAAACAAAAATGATAAGTAGCTAGGAAAATATAGAAGACTACTTTTTTCTCATAAATTGTTTAAAATATTTATGACTGCTTAAAGCAAAATGTATGACAGTGTAGTGGAGTTTTCAATGTACGTAAATAAAATATATATGATTAACTCTAACATAAAGTTCAAGTTGGTGGACCAGCCAGCCATAGTGGCTCAGTTGATTGAGTGTCGTCCTGTGCACCGGTTACTAGTTAGTTCAATTCCCAGTC